TGAAATTCCACATCATCATCAACAGGAAGAATCGCCTGCTGCAGCGCTGCCATCCAAGGCAGAATGGGCCATGCCAGGATCTTCGCCTGTGTAGAAAAGGCCAGGCTCAGCACAGAAATCAATGTTCAACGGGGCTAGATCTTCAGCCTTGAGCCACTAATCCCGGACCCCTGGACCTGCCTTTCACTCAATTTCACCCTCGAGCAAAACCGTCGGCTGTTTCTTCCGAAGCCGTAAGAGACCACCATGTGAGGGGCCGGGTTGTTACGAAGCAAGGATCGCCTCCTGGCGCCAGGACGAAGGAATCTCCGAGGGTCCTGCAGTCACGGGCCCGGGAGCGGGCGTAAATCGCGGGCTTCGGAATGTAGGAGCCGTGAAAACAGAAATCGCCCGAGAGTTCGGAGCGTGGTCAAATTTGGCAGCAAATCCACGGGTCGAGGAGTACTGGCGGTGGTCTGCTACTGTGACCGTCTGTGCGCAAGGGGGATGGACACCATTTATTTCGACGTAGCAGCTGCTACATGAAACTGGAAATTTAGAAATGCCCACATTATAGTCATATAGTTCCTTGCTACGAAGCAGAGTGCATTGTCGCAGTTCCTCGAAAGGGATGGCATGGAGCGGTTTGCATCAGGTTGCCAGGATCCGTAAACCAAGAGCAGATTCTGTTAACCAGGATAACCTGAGAGGGCTGGGACCACAGGAACCCCCCCAAAGCCCAGAGCCCGAAATGAAGCTCCGAAAGACCCGCGTCACGAAGCTATCGGATCCCGGTGGCCTTCCCCAGCCGGCCCGACGGCCCCGATCAGCTCGGCGTCCTCTCGGGGATCGAAACGCGGAGTCATCGACTCGGGCACAGAGTGACTGCTTTAACTATAGGACTGAGGATTCAGGGTCTTCAAAAACAAAAAAAGATACGGGCTTTTGGCAGTGGCTTGCCCTCTGCACGTGGAGTGGCTCTCATACTGCACAGCAACACCCAAGAGTCCAAAATGTAAAATCCGCAGTTCCTTCTACTCTGCTGAAACCTGAGCAAAAGCACACTTAACCTCCACCACACAACACGCAAAGGCAAGCCGAGAGTCCCATACCAGATGGGGCAAGATCCCTGGCCGACAAAGGCTCAGCACAGTTCTCATGAAGCCCAAAGAGCCCAAGCAGGCTCGGGCCCACAAAAAACAAACAAAGGACCTGGAAGCCCAAACTCTAAGCTGAACCCGATACTGTATACAGTCCATACTCTTTAAAGGCCTTAATCCTGCAGAATGCTAACCGGCGCCTTCTGATCAAGTCCCTCTCCGAGGTCACAGGCCAACAGACCACGAAGTGCATCCAGCATCTGCCAGCTATGGAGCACTGAGGATCTAGCAGCTCGGGGCTTAAGTTGCTTTAAGTTTTGCTCGAGTGACGTAGGAGGTGATCGAGGGGATTGTTGTCGAGTTCAGGGATTGACTCACCAAGTACGGTATAGCCGTATAGCTTTCCGCCGAGCTCTGGCACTGGTGGGAAATGTTGCCCTTCTCTTTCCAGCACGCCTACAATGTCTCGCGGCAAGCAAGTTGATCCTAAACACCTGAAGCCCTACGTGAACCATAAACCGACATAGGCCGCAAACCCTTCATGGGCATACTGCACTCACTGGCACGTCTCTGTTGTGTCTCTCGGAGCATATAAGGCCCTGGGCTTTTCCAAAAAAGAGCTTTCCAGTCTGGAAAACGAGACTAATGTAGTATCTTGTAGACTCAAAACAAACTGCGTCCCGATGTAACAAGGCTCCCCCTTGAAACGACTTCGGAAGCCTTCGGCGACGGAGTCCCCCGGACCACATCGAGAAGCAGCCGTCCTTGTCTATTTGCGGATCTCAAGCTTTCTGGACATTGTGAGGAGCAGACGACACACGCACTCTTTCCGGGCTGATGGCGTTCGGGGGCATGAGCTTCGGCAGCTCGAACGAAGCTTGCACAAAGCTCAGTTGAAAGGATGGAGAGGATAACAGATGCGCGCATGATCGATGTGATGAGCCACACATACTGCTGCTGTCAAGAGCAGATCGTGGAGCCTATCCCCAATACCACTGCAAGACATTCATTCGGAAGCGTCTTCCTCAGCACTTAAGTACGCTCTCAATATTCAGCATGGACAAGGGATCCCAAGCCCAGAGGCTGACCTCCTCTGGGCGTCCCCTTTTCAATCACAGCCTTGATGTCTCGGAGCCATGGGTCCTGCCTCCATGGCAAAGCTCCCTGAACGACGAACGTGAGTTGCCAGCCTGCCTGCTAGGGTAAAGTCGGACCTCCTCTTTAGGTCAACGAAGCAACACATCCCGAGCCCCATACGCTGCCAAGTGGAAAGCTCAAGCTAAGAACCTGCCTTTCAGTCCTACCGACATGGTCCAAGCCTGATCTGCCGTCAGGGCTCGCAGCTGCTTCGTGATAAGTCGCTGCAAGGTCACCTCCATGGCAGACACCTGCAGTAGAGGCCAGATCACGGAGAAGCCTCAAACCCCAAACCCCACAGTAAAGAAGAACACCCCCGAACCCCAAGAAAGCATACGCTCCCACCAATGAACCGGAAACCATAAACCGCCATGAACTTCTGAGGGACAATAGCATCACTTCGGGAACTGGGGCTCGCTTTCAGCTCAGAATATAGGTAGGGTGCCCCAGGCTCGGAAAGACTTCGCACATTTCATCCTCGGGTGCTTGGAAGTTTGAGCTACCTGGTGTTATACCGGTGGTTTTTAGGCCTGAGGAGAAATACTTTTTGGATGTGCGTCTCAGCCCGCTCTTCGGGTTCAAGGTGGGGAATCATGATGGCTTCGTGGGTTGCGCGCCTTTGCCGTCTGCAGCGTCTTGGCCAATGCTGTCCATGCCCTGGCAGGTACGGAAGCCCAGAGCAGTATGCGTGACAGATGTGGAGTAAACACTTGGCAGAATTTGGAAGCGATGGCAGAAAACTGATCCATTAAGTTTAAGCGGGGCTAAGCCCTGCACCGCAAGCCCTAGAGTCCGAAACCCTCTTGCTCCAGAGGCTGTGCAACGCTCGAGTTCGCTTCCCACCCACACACACAAACACCACGGAGGTCTAAAGCAAGATTCCATGGTCTAACGAGCAAAGGCTATGTCATGGGCTTAATGATTTGGATTCAGGACGTGCTGTAGACTTGATTGAGCCCGCAGCAGCGCTAGCGCTTCGACCCTCATTTGACAGATTCAGCGAACAGCC